ATATAGACACACACACACACACACACACACACACAACACACACACACACACACACAACACACACACACACACACACATATAATATAATATATAATATATATATATATTATATATATATATATATATATATATAATATATATATATATTCACAATTCTTCGCAGGCTCTCTCATGAATTCATCTTATTTTACGTTTTACTCATAATTCCTCATTCATCACAGGCTCACTCATAAACATCTTATTTACGTTTTACTTATAATTCCTCATTCTTCACAGGCTCTCTCATAAACTCACCTTACTTACGTTTTACTCATAATTCCTCATTCCTCACAGGCTCTTAATTCCTCATCCCACACAACCTCTCTCATAAACTCACCCCATTCTCCGTTTCACTCATAATTCCTCATTCTCCTCACAGGCTCTTAATTCCTCATTCCTCACAGACTCATAATTCTCACTCATTCTCCGTTTCACTCATAATTCCTCATTCTCCTCACAGGCTCTTAATTCCTCATTCCTCACAGACTCATAATTCCTATTCTCCGTTTCACTCATAATTCCTCATTCTCCCACAGGCTCTTAATTCCTCATTCCTCACAGACTCATAATTCCTCACCTCATTCTCGTTTCACTCATAATTCTCATTCCTCACAGGCTCTTAATTCCTCATCCCTCACAGACTCATAATTCCTCACCTCATTCTCCGTTTCACTCATAATTCCTCATTCTCCTCACAGGCTCTTAATTCCTCATTCCTCACACAGACTCATAATTCCTCACATTCTCCGTTTCACTCATAATTCAGTAGGCTCTTAATTCTATTCACAGACTCATATTCCTCACCTCATTCTCAGTTTCACTCATAATTCCTCATTCTCCTACAGGCTCTTAATTCCTCATCCTCACAGACTCAAATTCCTCACCTCATTCTCCGTTTCACTCATAATTCCTCATTCTCCTCACAGGCTCTTAATCATCCCACACAAGCTCTTTCATAACTCACCTCATTCTCCGGCTCTTTATTCCTCATTCCTCACAAACTCATAATTCCTCACTCATTCCCCGTTTCACTCATAATTCCTCATTCTCCTCACAGGCTCTTAATTCCTCATTCCTCACAGACTCATTCTCACCTCATTCTCACGTTTCACTCATAATTCCTCATTCTCCTCACTCATAATTCCTCATTCTCCTCACATAATTCTCATTCCTCACAGACTCAATTCTCATCTTCCGTTTCACTCATAATTCCTCATTCTCCTCACAGGCTCTTTAATTCCTCATCCCACACAAGCTCTTTTCATAAACTCTACCTCATTCTCCGTTTCACTCATAAATTCCTCATTCTCCTCACAGGCTCTAATTCCTCATTCCTCACAAACTCATAATTCTCACCTCATTCCCCGTTCACTCATAATTCCTCATTCTCCTCACAGGCTCTTAATTCCTCATTCCTCACAGACTCATAATTCCTCACCTCATTCTCCGTTTCACTCATAATTCCTCACCTCATTCTCCGTTTCACTTCATAATTCCTCATTCTCCTCACAGGCTCTTAATTCCTCATTCCTCACAGACTCATAATTCCTCACCTCATCTCCGTTTCACTCATAATTCCTCATTCTCCTCACAGCTCTTAATTCCTCATCTCTCACTCACCTCATTCTCCGTTTCACTCATAATTCTCATTCTCCTCACAGCTCTTATTCCTCATTCCCACAAACTCATAACTCACCTCATTCTCCGTTTCACTCATAATTCCTCATTTCCTCACATTAATTCCTCATTCCTCACAGACTCATAATTCCTCCTCATTCCGTTCACTCATAATTCCTCATTCTCCTCACAGGCTCTTAATTTCATTCCTCACAGACTCATAATTCCTCACCTCATTTCTCCGTTTCACTCATTTCCTCACCTCATTCTCCGTTTTCATAATTCTCATTCTCCTCACAGGCTCTTAATTCCTCATTCCTCACAGACTCATAATTCCTCACCTCATTCTCCGTTTCACTCATAAATTCTCCTCACAGGCTCTTAATTCCTCATCCCACACAAGCTCTTTCATAAACTCACCTCATTCTCCGTTTCACTCATTCCTCATCTCCTCACAGGCTCTAACTCATTCCTCACTCATCACCTCATTCACTCATAATTCTCTCACAGGCTCTTAATTCCTCATTCCTCACAGACTCAAATTCCTCACCTCATTCTCCGGTCATTCTCCGTTTCACTCATAATTCCTCATTTCCTCACAGGCTCTTAATTCCTCATTCCTCACAGACTCATAATTCCTCACCTCATTCTCCGTTTCACTCATAATTCCTCATTCTCCTCACATAATTCCTCATTCCTCACAGACTCATAATTCCTCACCTCATTCTCCGTTTCACTCATAATTCCTCATCTCCTCACAGGCTCTCCTCACAGACTCATAATTCCTCACCTCATTCTCCGTTTCACTCATAATTCCTTCTCCTCACAGGCTCATTCCTCATCCCACACAACTTCATAAACTCACCTCAGTTTCACTCATATTCCTCATTCTCCTCACAGGCTCTTAATTCCTCATTCCTCACAACTCATAATTCCTCACCTCACCCGTTTCACTCATAATTCTCATTCTCCTCACAGGCTCTTAATTCCTCATTCCTCACAGACTCATAATTCCTCACCTCATTCTCCGTTTCACTCATAATTCCTCACCTCATTCTCCGTTTCACTCATAATTCCTCATTCTCCTCACAGGCTACGCGACGGCGAGTTTGGTGGGCGGCGTCTTATACCAGCAGTTCGGGGGTCCCAGAATGTACCTCATCTTCGGAAGTGTCTCAATACTGGTTTTCTTGCTGCACGTCCTGTCGCTCCGGTTCCTGCCGCCCCCTGAGGGTATGTCGAGAGGATGGGTTGTGTTGCTGATGGAAGGGTGGGTTGTGTTGCTGAAGGGAAGGTGGTTGTGAGGGGAGTGGGTTGTGTTGCTGATGGAAGGGTGGGTTGTGTTGCTGAAGGAGGGAGGGTTGTGAAGGAAGGGTGGGTTGTGTTGCTGAAGGGAAGGTGGGTTGTTTTACTGATGGAGGGAGGGTTGTGAAGGGAGTGGGTTGTGTTTTGCTGAAGGGAAGGGTGGGTTGTGGAGGAGGGTGGGTTGTGTTACTGAAGTAGGGAGATGGGTTTTTTTACTGATGGAGGGAGGGTTGTGAGGGAGTGGGTTGTGTTGCTGATGGAAGGTGGGTTGTGTTGCTGAAGGAGGAGGTTGTGAAGGAAGGGTGGGTTGTGTTGCTGAAGGAAGGGTGGGTTGTGAGGGGAGTGGGTTGTGTTGCTGATGGGAAGGTGGGTTGTGAAGGGAGTGGGTTGTGTTGCTGAAGGGAAGGTGGGTTGTGAAGGAGTGGGTGTTGCTGAAGGGAAGTGGGTTGTGAAGGGAGTGGGTGTGTTGCTGAAGGGAAGGTGGGTTGTGTTACTGATGGAGGGAGAGTTAGTGAAGGAAAGGTGGGTTGTTAAGGGAGTGGGTTGTGTTACTGATGAAAGGGTGGGTTGTGAAGGAAGGGTGGGTTGTGTTGCTGAAGGAAAGGTGGGTTGTGAGAGGAGTGGGTTGTGTTGCTGAAGGAAAGGTGGGTTGTGAGGGGAGTGGGTTGTGTTACTGAAGGGAAGGTGGGTTGTGAAGGGAGGGTGGGTTGTGTTGCTGAAGGAGTGAGGGTTGTATTACTGAAGGAGGGAGGGTGTGTTACTTAAGGAAAGGTGTTACTGAAGGAAGGGTGGGTTGTAAAGGGAGTGGGTTGCATAACTGAAGGAAAGGTGGGCTGTGTTATTAAAGGAAAAGTGGGTTGTGTTCCTGAAGGAGGGAGGGTGTGTGGTGGGGTGGGTGGGGTGAGGTGGGTATTAGGTTTAAGAGTGTCATCTTTTTATTACTAATAATTATAAGTTATTGTTTTAAGTATTTGAGTGTTAGTTTTGATTATAGTTAACTGTGTTATTTTTTATTATTTTCAATTATTCATAAGCGTTATTTTTATTAATTTATTTGTTAGCAGTGTTATTTTTAGTTATTTTAAGCTATTGTTTTAACTTTTTAAGAGTGTTGTATTTACTTTTTAGTGTGTGTGTGTGTGTGTGTGTGTGTGTGTGTGTGTGTGTGTGTGTGTGTGTGTGTGTGTGTGTGTGTGTGTGTGTGTGTGTGTGTGCGCGTGCGTGTGTGTGTGTGTGTGTGTGTGTGTGTGTGTGTGTGTGTGTGTGTGTGTATGTGTGTGTGTGTGTGAGTGGGTGCGAATAGGAATATTTCATGATATAACAAAGAATATTATCTTCTAACCCTCATTTGAAATAATTATGAATAAATAGATAAATTAATGATAAATGAAAATAGGTGAAAATCTTCCCATTTTCCTTATTATTTCCATTTTCTTCATTATTTCCATTCTCATTATTCCCATTTTCCTCATTCTTCCCCATTCTCCCCATCCTTCCCACCCCTTATCCTTCCCCACTCCCCTTATCCTTCCCACTCCCCTCATCCTTCCCACTCCCCACATTCTTCCCCATTCTCACCCTCTCTTCTTCCCCCTTTTCCTTCCAGCCCTAACGAACGGGGAGGTGACACGGGCGCGGAGAGGAGACGCCCACGACGCAGAAGAGAAGGCCGCCCTCAGCCTCGAGTCCCCGATGGAGAGTAACCACCGGGGAAGCGTCGACACCCAGCACCAGGAGGAGGCGGTGAAGGAGGAGGAGGAGGAGGAGGAGGAGCGGGGAGGCGGGAGAGAAGATGGAGAGGCGGTGGAGATGATATAAGGAGGGAGGGGCGGAGGGGGATGAATGAGGGAGGGAGGGAGGCGGTGGATATGATATAAGGAGGGAGAGTGGAGGGGGAGGAATGAGGGAGGGAGGGAGGCGGTGGAGATGATATAAGGAGGGAGGGGCGGAGGGAGGAATGAGGAGGGAGGGAGAGAGGAAAGGAGGGAAAGGGTAATGATAAAAATAAATAGGAGAGAGATGGAAGGGAGATAGAGAGAGATTGAGAAAGGGGATTAGAAAAAAGAAAGAAGTGAAATAAAGAAACGAAGGGAGGAGAGGAAGGAAGGGGAGATGGAAAGAGAGAGGATGAGAGAGTGGTAAAAAGAATCAGAGTAAGGAGAGAGGCGAATGGATAAAAAGAACGAGAGAGGACAAGAGAGAGCTAGAAAGAAAGAGAGAGAGAAGAGGACGAGAGAGAGAGAGAGAGAGAGAACAAAAGGTAGACGGAATAACAGACTAAAAGAGAGAGGGAGGGAGGAAGGATACAAACAGGAACCAGGGAGAGGAGGACAAGGAAAAGAAGAGAAAATATGAAAAAATATAATTAACATATAGGCTGTGAGAATAAGTGCTTTTGGAGATGTAATTTTAGAGAAAATGAACAAGGAAGAGAGAAATAGAGATACAGTTAGACTAGGGATAACAAGAATTTTATATAATTTAAAATAGAAAAGACAAGAAAAAAATAGACGCCAAAACTGTAAGATGATAAGAATATGATATAGTTAATACATATATAAGAGGGGAGATGAAATGACAATATAAACTTACTAAAAGATGCAGATGATAAAGATGAGAGAATGAGATGTTGACGATAAAGATGAGAGAATGAGATGTAGGCGATAAAGATGAGACAATGAGATGTAGACGATAAAGATGAGAGGGTGATGTTGACGATAAAGATGAGAGAATAAGATGTTGACGATCAAGATGAGAGAGAGAGATGTAGACGATAACGATGAGAGAGAGAGAGATGTAAACGATAAAGATGAGAGAGAGAGATGTAGTCGATAAAGATGACAAGACAGTTTTTTAAGATACCATCGATGCTGCCTAGACCCTGGATAAGAATATAAACACGAGACAGATAATTATATAACCCAGACGAACAAATTTTACATAGCTGATAACGTCTAGAAGATAAGATCTTATTCCCTCCACGTTAAATAAAAATTTGTTATATACCCGGAATATACAGTTATTTTGAAAATATGGAAAATACCAGTATTTTATTCTTACATCTCTTAGTGGTTTCTAAGAATAAATATCTATTTTTTATTGTATAAATTAATTCATTCTCATTTTTAAAATGTTTGGCGGATGACTTTGTCTCGTGTCACAAATCAAAATAGATTTTTCTATTTTTTCATCGGATATATAAATAATTACAGATACTCAAAACGCATCTCCCATATTTCCTCATTTTTTCATTAATTGTTATTCATGGTATTTATTCCACAAATGAGAAAAAACATAAACCATGACCATTTTCTTCTAGATTATAATTGAATATGTGTAAGCCACAAGTACGAGTTGAGAATTTGTTTTCGTTTTAAACACGTGAACGCGCATGCTCACTAGCTTTTATGTGTGTCTACTGTTGTGCGTACAAAAGAATTGATAGACGATAGCAGTGATGTGAAGCGTAGCTATGACATGAGTATTAATATTTCTGTGTAACATATTAATGGAATACACACACACACACACACACACACACACACACACACACACACACACACACACACACACACACACACACACACACACACACACACACACACACACACACACACACACACACACACACACACACACACACACACACACACACACACACACACACACACACACATACATACCATACATTATATTTAGCGTATATATACATATATATCGTCAGTATCACAAATTCACAGCATTATGTACAGCAGTGTTAACTCCTCAGTGTCTATTTATATAAATGTCCAGGTTTGATTTTACTCAGGAGCAACAATGACAAGGAACTGAAAATGTATTTATCCAGTGCCATTATAACCACGTGTTCTGTGTAACCACGTGTTCTGTGCGTGCAAAGTAACATTCCGATGTTGTGATCATCCAGCCAAGTCGAGCGAATAAAAGTAATAAAATCTTTTCATGAGTGTTTGTCTCCTTTTCTTTAATATATATATATATTTTTTCTCCTCTCTTCTTTATTTTTATTAATTTGTTTTCTTTCTTTTTTATTATTATTTATTAAGGATTTACTAGCGTCTTGTCTTCCTTGGAAATTCAGGACCGTGATAAACATGAGGAGAGAAGAAAAAAAAAGATAAAGTGACAGACAAATAGAGAAAGATGAAGACGAAGAAAAAAAACGGAGAAAGAAATATTTACCACCTCTGTGTTCTATAACTCATTCTCATGCCTTTTATTTCATTTATCAACGGTCCCTCTCTCTCTCTCTTCTTCTTCTTTTCCTTCTTCTTCATCTTCTTTTTCTTCTTCTCATCTTCTCTTCCTCTCCTCCTCCTCCTTCTTCTTTTCCTTCTCCTTCTTTCCTTCTTCTTTCTCTCCTCTTCCTTCTTCTCTCTCCTCTTCCTTCTCTTCTTTCTCTCCTCTTCTTCTTCTTTCTCTCCTCTTCCTTCTTCTTTCTCTCCTCTTCTTCTTCTTTCTCTTCTTCTTCTTCTTCTCTCCTCTTCTCTTCTTCTTCTTCTTCTTCTCTCCTCTCCTTTCTTTCTCTCCTCTTCCTTCTTCTTTCTCTCCTCTTCCTTCTTCTTCTTTCTCTCCTCTTCCTTCTTCTTCTTTCTCTCTTCTTCCTTCTTCTTTCTCTCCTCTTCCTCCTTCTCCTCCTCCTCCTCCTCCTCCTCCTCCTCCTCCTTCTTCTTCTTCTATTTACAATATCAGACTCATGTAGTTTCCTGACCTCCACTGCCTCCACACCACAGGCTACGCGACCTCACATAAACACGTGTATTAAAAATTCTCACCATGCTGTTGAGGTTATATAAGGCATGCGCTAAATATCTTATTTTCAGTGTGTATGTAATTACTAATACTCAAAATAACTTGGACTAAAGATAAGAGAGAGAGAGAGAGAGAGAGAGGGAGAGAGAGAGAGAGAGAGAGAGAGAGAGAGAGAGAGAGAGAGAGAGAGAGAGAGAGAGAGAGAGAGAGAGAGAGCTGTTTGTAATCTACAGAAACAAATTCAATAATGTATTGTGTAAGACAAACGTAATAAAGTGTTTAAAGTGAGTGAGAGAGAGAGAGAGAGACGGAGACAACGGTTTTATGATTCAAAACAATTGTAAATAAATTAATAGATTAATGGTATTTATTGAATAGTGTTACCGTTATACCCTGAACCCGTTTGAAAATTTAAAGGTAGAGTGTATATAAAGATGAATTATGATAGATTATTCTCCCTGTTATCCTTATATGAGGATTAATGACGATAACCTTTCCCATTCTTACCGTTATCATTATAAGAGATATGAATAAATGAAGATTAATTAAAACCATGATCAATTACTGTCATTATCATCATCATTATCGTCGTTTCTCTATCGTTCTTTTAATTTTGTGATGATGATTTGTGCATAGAGGAAACGTTCTGTCACTGTGAGAGCGAGTGGAAGTGCATTTATGAGAGGGAGCGCGTGAGAGGGAGAGATAGTGAGGGTCAAGAAAGCTAGTGTTTGGCAATCAGCCGTAGTGTGGGGAAGGTCTTGTCGTGGAAGGATGGTTTAGCATGAAGGCTCCAGCTACGGGACTTGTGTTTCTGAGACGAAGGTAAAGAGAGAGAGGAGGCGGGGGAGAGAGAGAGAGAGAGTGAGTGAGTGAGACAGACAGAGACAGCGACAGAGGGAGAGATAGACATAGATATAGAGAAAGAAAGAGAGAGAGAGAGAGAGAGACAGACAGAGAACCAGGGAACCAGAGAGAGAGAGAGAAACAAAGAGAGAGTGTGTGTGTGTGACAGAGAAAGAAAGAAAAAAAAAAAAACAAGTATCCAACGCTTTGGAAAAAAAGTTTTCCACGATTATGAAATCAAACGATTCGAAGCTCATCGTAAGACACTTGAAGGCGAAGATCCCCTGATATCTGCTTAATCATCCTGACCTAACGAAAAGGCCCGATTTGGAACGAAAATCACAATCGACAAGAAATGTAGTGAAAAAAAATTACCCTAAACGTTTTCAGTGTCGGTCCCCGGCTAGTGTTCAGTGTTAAGTGTATATAGATAATGAGATAAGGCGTGGCTAATAGTGATTATAAATAACAGAGGGGTTACCCAGTCAACCAAGGTATCTGAGGTGCCAAGATCGTGTATGTATGTGTTTGTGACTGTGTTTAAGGTGACTAACGGTGATCGTATTTCAAAACAGTGCCAATGTGAATAAATTAAATTTTCCATTTAATCTCTTCTTTATTTTTTTCTGTTTTAAGTAAGTCTTTGGAGATATCGCATCTGACCAAACAGCTGTGTGTACTACCTTCGCCCGAGGGTTGAACAGCACAGGAGAAGCGTGGCACAGTGCCAGTGATACGTGGCAACAAACCCTGTGGAGTGCCACCATGACTCCAAAGTTCACACGTGTGTTTTCATCCACCTGCCGGGAGTGATTTAAGAAAAAATACAGTGTTATCGATGTGTTATTTCTTTCTCTTTTAGCTGCGGGTGACACCGTTGTCAGCTGATGTCAAGAGGTGCCAATTGGTGCCAAGGTGCCAGTTACAGCCACCGGGATGAAGATCAACAAGGCACTGTTGCCCATCAAGGGTCATTATTTTATATTCTGGGGATGTGAGTATTGCCATAAATTATATAATGTATGAACGATGATAACATATGAGAGTGCTTACAGATTATCAGTTATATTATTTGGTACTATTGTTATTGTTTTCTTATTTGTGAGCATTTAATCAGGAAGTGAATCTTTAAAATTAGCTCAGACACCACGTAAACATCTCACTTCCTGCTTCGACTCATCAATATTTAATTCTGATTTTTAAATGACGTAAAAAGTAAGCAAAAATAGGCAAAAATATAACACAAGATAGATCCAGAATTGACTTAAAAGATATTTTATGAATTAGAACAACAAATAAACTGAATGAAAAAGGTATTCATTGACTATGTGATATGAGAGATCTATATTCATATTATGTAAGTTAACTCACTAATTTACTTGAAATAGATACACACTTTAATTAATTTTTTCGTCTCTCTTTATTTATATCTGTCTATCTTTCTATATCGATCACTCAATCAGTCAGTCAGTCAGCCTGTTTATCTATATTTATTTATATCTATATCTCTCTCTCTATATATATATATACCCATATATATCTATCTACCTATCTATATATCTCTCTATATCTACCCATCTGTATCTATCTACCTATCTATATCTATCTATTTATCTATCTATCTACCTATCTATATTCATCTATCTACCTATCTATATTCATCTATCTATCTACTATCTATATTCATCTTCTATCTATCTATATTCATCTATCTATCTACCTATCTATATTCATCTATTTATCTGCCTACCTATCTACCCACCTATCTACCTATCTATCTACCTACACCTACCTACCTATATCTATCTATCTGTCTATCTATTATCTATCTATCTATACCCATCTATCTATCGATCTATCTATCATCAATCCATACCTATATAGCCATAACCCTCACGGCCATTCCACCCACGGCGACCTCCCTCTCTCCCTTCCCTCCCGCAGCCTACGCGTCCGCCCTGCCCTTCATGATGGTGGTGGCGAGGCAGCTGGGGATCCCGGTGGCGCTGCAGGGAACCATCACTGCCGCCGTCATTGCCTTCGCCGTTTTAGCCAAGCCCGTGATCTCGGCGGCGGCGGACCACCTCCCCTCCCTCAGGAAATCGATCTTCTTGGGTCTCCTGACGATCATGGTGACCACGCTGGCGCCCATCGGGTTTCTGAAGCCCCTGTACCCGGCGCCGGTGGTCCAGGGGGCGCTCAGAGCCGAGGGGGCGTCGGAGGGGGTTCTGAGGGCGCGTGATACAGGTATATATATATATATATATATATATATATATATATATATATATATATATATATATATATATATATATATGTGTGTGTGTGTGTGTGTGTGTGTGTGTGTGTGTGTGTGTGTGTATTTTTTTCTTTTCTTTTCTTTTTTTTTTGGGGGGGGGTGAGGGAAAGAGAGAGAGAGAAAGAAAGAAAGAAAGAGATAGAGAGAGAGAGAGAGAGAGAGAGAAACAGAGACGGAAAAAGAAGAAAAGCAAAAGGAAAGAAAGAGAAAGAAGACGAAAGACAAAACGAGAGGAAGCGAGAAAGAAAAATACGAAAAAAGAAAAAGAAAAAAGCGGAAAAAAATCGAAAGAAAAGTAACGAAAGCTAGAGATTTTTTTTCTCTACAAAAACACCACCACACCATCACTAACACACCCTCACACCCACACCAGGTACCTGTTACGTCTCGTCGGCTTGGGACTGTGACGTCACGTGCTCCCAAGCCAGCCCTGCCCTCAAGCCACCTCTCCCTCTGGCTTTTCACTCTCCCTCCACCACCACCTGACTGACGACCCCGAACCAAAGGGCAAGAACTGGACAGACACACCCCAGCAGGAAGGTTATCGCTTTTACGTAGCGTCTGGTCTCCATTTTCCCGCCATTTTCGAAGCAGTTAATGTCAGGTGAATATATGCAAAGAAGTTGGAAGATTCGTGTCGTATTTTTTTTTTTCTTTTCATTTTTTGAATTTATTGAAACTTGGCAAATGAAGCTTGCACGATCCCCTGATAAGATGAATCAAAATAATCTTATCTATTTATCTTTTCTCCTAAGCGTCCATTTTCCCGCCATTTTCGAAGCAGTCAATGTCACGTGAATATATGCAAATAAATTGGAAGATCTGTGTCGTAATCTTTTAATTGAATTTACAGAAACTCGGCAAATGAAACTTGCTCGATCCCCTGAATAAGATAAATCATAAAATCTTATTTATTCATCATCTCTCTTCAGCGTCGATTTTCCCGCCATTTTGGAAGATCTGTTGTCGTAATCTTTTAATTGAATTTACAGAAACTCGGCGAATGAATCTTGCTCGATCCCCTGATAAAATAGATAAAAAAAAAATCTTATTTATGCTCGATCCCCTGATATAGATTTAAAAATCTTATTTACTCATCTTTTCTCTTCAGTATACGTTGCAAAGGAGGAGAATGGAAGGGTCACGGCTGCCACGCCCCCTGGGAGACAGCTGAATTCTGGCTCTTTGTGACCCTCCTGCTGGCGGGACAGGTCGCCGCCTCCACCGTCGAGTCTATATCGGATGCAGTTTGTCTCGATATCATAGGTAGTCGAGAAGGAGAAGGATAGATGTGTCTGTCTGTCTTTCGGGAATTTTTGTATGTTGAGAGTGGTTGACGTCGAGTCCTGGAGTTTTCTTTATATATCTGATCCCTTTTATTCAAGTATTCATTTATCCATTCAGATTTTCGTTCATGTAAACGTTCAGTAATCCATTTATTTACTTATCTATTTTTCTGATCCATTTTATTCACAAATATCATTTATCATTCAATTGTTTTTTTTATATTTTCGTTAATATACCTAAACGTTCAATCATCCATCTATTTACATATTTATCAATCAACTGACTTATTCACGAATCTAGTTATTAATCCACGAATCTAGTTATTAATCCACGAATC